TTCTTTTTTTCCCCCAGTTTCAAACTTCTGGCCTTGTTTTGACATGGGGGCGGGGCCTCAGACGACAGGGCTGTGTGGAATCATGACTGACAGCTCAACACAGTGGCTGGACAAAATATGGCTGAAAAATGTGTCAGTTTCATATGAGTCGATATTGATAATTATTGATTAGTTGTTTTCGTTTCACTTATTTGAAATAAGGACCCGAAGGAAAAAAGCCGATTAATTCTGCAGAACTGGTGACGTAAACTTTTTCTCTTTTTTCCACAATTTCGTCTCGAGCTTTTGAGCTTATTTTCCGGATCCATGGAACCTGGAAATATCTATATAGCAGCATCTATGTTTATGTAATAGTCAGTGTCATATATTTTCCACAGAGATTTATGGCATGTGTTGACATAAGCAGCTTATATCAGTGAAGACGATCACAGAAACATGGAATATCGATGATGTTTTAAAGACATTTCCAGTTCCCACAGATCCTGAATGCAACAGCTGGGAATGTTTTGTCCAGCTGCTGTGTATGATTCCATAGCCCCTGTCATGAGGCCCCGCCCCCACGCCAAAACGGGGACACAAGTTTGAAACTMCAAAAAAAYATTAAAATGAAAGMAACCCTAGAATCTGACAAATAGTTTTGATCTTTTTTTTGTTTGTTTCAACGAACTTTATGGCCCCAACTTAGCTCCATAGAGTTCTACATTAGAGATGCAGCAAAGGGAAATAAATAAATGACCTGTTCATCTTGCTGGAGACGTCTATGTCATTCATGAAGCACTCGATGTTCAGAGGCAGGTCAGAGGAGTTGGCACTCATGAGCTTTTTCAGCTTCTCGCACTCCTGATGGAGCCGCAGCAACGCTCTGGGATTGTCCCTCACGTTGAGCTTGTATTTGGTCTTGAAGGCCTCGCAGAAGTGCTCGACCAAGGCTTCGTCAAAGTTACGCCCACCGAGGTACGGGTCGAAGGCTGTGGCCAGGACCTGGCAAACGACACAGACGACAGATCTAATACTAAAAGAAACAAACATGTTTTCAGACAGAAAAAAAATGGGTAAAGACTCACTTTGAGTTTGCCTTTATTGAAAGCCGTGATGGAGACTTGAAACGATGAGTGTCCCATGTCTACAAAAACTACATTTCTTGGCTTTTCTTCTGGAGTAGGAAGGTCTTGTTTGTAAATCCCATAGGCCAAAGCCACTGTTGATGACCAGTTTATGTGTTAGCATCTATTTGAGTCTTAATTTATAATCAAAAGATGCATCATTTTAGAAACATTTGAGAACACTGACCTGCAGTAGTGTCATTGATCAGCCGCAAACAGTTCAGCCCTGCAATCTGAGTTGCATCAAGGACTGAGCGTCGTTCAGTGTCTGTGAAAAAGCTSGGGACCTGCGGAGCCACAAACCAGAAATCAATGCAGTTCCTGGAAGCGCTTGTTGAGCTGATGGGTGCCTCGCATGTTTTTGTCACTCACAGAGATGACGCAGTCCACCACCGGCTTCTTTAGGGCGCTCTCGGACGTCTCCTTCAGCTTGGTGAGCAGCATCCCGCTGATCTGCTCCACGGTGAACGCTTTGTCCTCGTCCAGATAACGCACCTGCAAACGAAATGTCAAAGGCTGTGTGCGCCAAGCGAACTCTCCCCGCTCAGCAGCGTGCCTTAATTAAATGGACGGACATTTGCAGTGACAGCAGCAGACGGGGGAGAAAACAGGCTGGACRTCGTAAAAAAAAAGTGCTTTACCTTAATTCCAGCGCTTCCATTGGCCAGCTTGTGTAAGCTGTAGGGCAGTTTGTTTTTCTCTGCCTGGACAAATGGATCATCAAACGCTCGGCCGTGGAACTTTTTGAAGCCATGCACTGTATTTTTGAAATTAGTTATAATCTGATATGAGAAAAAAAGGGAACAAAACATAAAGTACATTTGGTAAAGTTAAATCACATGTAACAAATACAAACATATGAAAAAAAAACTGGTTGAGCTCACCTGACTCTTTGCTGCRTTTCCAATCATGCGGTTTTTGGAGGCCAGTGAAACACAAGCCCTAAGAGTGAGATCAAACATATTAATTTAAAACCCCAATCCCCCCAAAAAAATCTGGGATGATGTTCACCATGTCATCCACGAACACAGATTAAAGCTCTATCACGCAAAGTCGAAGCTATAMTTGAACACCATTCTTAGATGCTGCTGTCTTTTCTAGACTAAAGCTCATTTCTAAAGAACTGTGGGGTAAAATTAGAAAATGTTTTCAATCAAACTTTGAAATCCACACCTTCCTAATATAATCGCCAATATGGGKTTTTTTTTCGAGGTTTTTCAGAAAACTCAATAAACTTAAAAAAAATTGATATATATTGATGTTGAAGCTTGATGACCTTCTGGATTGAATTATTTGAATCATGAGAAACAGGATTGAAGACCTCTGACTTTGGCAATTATTTTAGGAAGAAGTCAAAATTCATTTTGGAAAACATGTCCTGCGTACTAAAGAGGAGAGGGACCATCCAGCCAAAGGCCCGCCTCTCTGATGTTATGGGGGTGCATTAATGCCTATAGCACAGACAGTTAACACATCTGGAGATGTACAATCAATGTAGAAAAGTATACTTAGGTTTTAGAACATGTGCTTTGATCCAGTGCAAAAAAAAAAAAAAAACCAAGGCTATTGAAAAGCTAGATTTCATCAGACTAGACCAGGACCATATTTTTTCCTCCAAAAACTCCAGCTGATGTTTCCCATAAAATGTGTGTTTTGGAGATTTGCAAACATGGTTTTATTTGTGTTTTACACCACATCCCACCGTTTTCAGAATTAGGGCAATAAACGAGACAAATATGTGGTGTCTCTGGCTGAACGGMATCGGTTAAACAGAAATGTGAACCTCTGAGATTAAGCGAATGTCACAAGAGMGTCTGAGAGAGAACCACAAACTAGGGCAGTGAGACAAATCAGTTCACCTTCAACACTGTGAGCTCTGCTTGGACAAAATTAGAAAGCAAGACAAAAAAAACATCACAAAATGTTCTGGGGTTTTGTCTGTTTTTAAGGGTAATTTTTAATTGCTGAGGTCCATTTCACTGTAACTGACAGTGACAAGGCACTCCCTGGTTTCACCTTGCCACAAAAATATTCCCTCATCTCTTGTGCAGCTGCACATCCCTGCAGGAGGATGCTGCAAACACAGCTTGCTGAGACAAACACTGCTGGGAAACATAAATRATTACTTCCTAAAAGACCTGTTTACATTTCTGGGCTGGGCTATATTAGATTTTAAGGCTGTGGTTTTTAATAATGGACTCAATGTCATTGTGTCATAGTAATATTTGATTATAACTAGCATATAGTCTGCACACCATATCTTAACAACCAGATAAGTTTGTCGCAGTAGAGAAGTGGTTCTCATGATTGTACAGAGTATGTTGGTTTAACACAAGCAGCAGTTTTATTTAAAATTACCATGTGGCAGCTAAAAACTAACCAGGCCCATCCTCACTACCACCATCCTTCCTGTCAGACCAGCACTGTGCGCTCTCGGACGCGTACATTGCGTAACAAACTCGCAGTCTCTGCACGGGGACGACCTGTCAACATTCATACTCACGGTGTGCATCTGTCACTGTACTCATTGGCAACGGTTTCAATGCCTCCGCTCCTGGCCACGGCGACGTAACAGTTCTGGAAACCCACATCAATGCCAACCACTGACATTATGAACGCTCCTGATTTRACCGTTTTAAGTTATCTTCCGCGAAAGACCGCACTTTAAAAATATACAATTAAAGTCAGACCGGGAAAAAAATGCGATTAAGCTTCCCTCTTTTTAAAAAAAACTGCGTTTTCTGAAGGAGGGCTAAATGAGTTGTGTAGCTGTTATGTAAGTCAAGCTGGATGAAGCAAACTCATTCAGCGGTATAATCCCCGSGAGCGATGGGATCCAGAGCGGATTCTCCTATTCCTAGGCGGCCCTACATCACCTGGCAGCTCCAGACTGGATGCTCCTTTAGGTCCGCCTACCAACGTCCCTGATTGGATGGAGCCCACCCAGTCATTGTATGTGATTGGCGCAGTGACAAATCGGTAACAGAAGAATCTAGAACCCCGTGGAAGGGGAAAACGTATGAATACGTCACTGCGATAAGTACATTTGCCCTGAATTCAGTCTGGCAGGTTGATAATTTTCTTCACCTGACACAAAAGAAACAGTTGTCAAAAATTTAATAAAAACCAGRAGATAAGAACTATCTARTCTTAACTAGTCTATATAGCCTTTATCTGGTARATTTGTATTCTTTATAAACTAAAAATAATAATTAATAATGTAAAARCAAACAAACAAACGTGAAATAATAATGAAGACAATATAAAATAGCCTATATCGGATGTATAAATATGCGTTAATATTTCTTCATGACTATAATAGCTTTACGTTTCAGATTGTTTTAATAATTTACGATACTTTGCAAAAGTTTTGATCAACTCTCTTTGCTGTAAAGTAATTTTCTTAAGTGGTAATGCTCGATTTCTCTCCAAGCTTTATAAAGCTCTTCCAAATATTGTACTTTGTATCTTTTTCCACATATTTACTGCTCTGTTCCACCAAGCATAACAGCCTATGTGATGAGTGTCAGACACTGGAATAAAAATTCATGAATAAGCACAAAGGTCATGGACATTTTTTAAAAATCTTCAGAAAATTTGAAATAAATATTTATCAAAAGCATTAACTGATAGAAAGCGTAGCTTCAATGTAAAATAAAAAATGAACAATGTCTCAACTTTATTTATATACATATATATATGCACTTTGAAAAACATAAATTTGTTTTTAAAGTTAGTAAACTATAAATTTTCATAAATACACTGATTGAACTGTTTTTCTAGCGTTTGTCTCGTTCCATTTCATTTTCATTGCAGGATTGTGAGCGTTTGTTTCAATGCTGAGAACCATAAGGACTGAAGGTATTTTTGAGTTTGAACGCAGCCCGAAGGGGCCCCCGAGCGTGAACAGGAAGTGTTTGTTAAACAAGCTAGTTTAGCCAGCTAGTTTCAGTCAGGKACCTTAGCTAGGCTTGTCGTTAAAGTTTAATCATTGTTATCACTATGGGGTTGTTCGGCAGAACACCGGAAAAACCACCAAAAGACTTGGTGAGTATTTTATGTGTAACATCAGGGCTGTCGTTAATTATTTTGCTCATATTTAGTTAAAATGACAGAGATGTTTTTAGCTAGGTGGCTAACCTCACTCTCGTCAGCTTGTCCGCCCAGTCTGTTGATACKTCTACTAACTAAAAGCTGACGCGATTATGGTCGAAAATGAGTCATCGGTCTCGACGATGTTAAGCTACGTTATTCTTAAAGTTATTTTTGCTCAATTAATTCTTCGTTTAGACAACGCTCTGAGACATGGGTCAGTTAGCCTGCGTGCTAATCTGCCTCTTGTCAGCCAACCATGTAAACAAACCCGGATTATGTCCAGCTCATCTTCTGTCATACTTCTGTTAGACTTACACGCATTTAATATTTTTCATACATTTTATGTGCTGGTGAAGAAAATAACTGACATCTAATTTAATATAATTCTAGATCAACGAGTGGTCTCTAAAAATTAGAAAAGAAATGAGAGTGATTGACAGACAAATTCGAGGTAAGATTTACACAACTCCAGAAAAACATCTTAAAGCTTCCATTCATTCAGAAATTACCTTCATGCTGTTTCTAAATACTTCTTAATTAATAATAGAAAGAAAACAACTCTGTATATTTAACTATAAGCAATGACTTTTAATGTGCTTCATTTCAATTTCCTATGATCCATATCTTTTTACACAAGTGTCAAAATGGACTAAAAATACAAAACATATAAGATAATATAGTATTTAAMTGTATTTTTGTACATTTGTGTAATCAGTCCTATTAGTCATCATATGAGAATGCACATCTTGTTTTGTTTAGAAAATTTGGAGCATAAACAAGTACAACTGGTATCTTAGAGCATTATCACATGACATAAGTGATTACACACATTACATTTGTCCAAATGTTCTTTTGTAATGCCAATCCCTTTGCTTTTAGATATCCAACGAGAAGAAGAAAAAGTAAAACGATCCATCAAAGAYGCTGCCAAAAAAGGTCAGAAGGACGTTTGCGTGATCCTCGCAAAGGAGATGATTCAGTCAAAGCGGGCTGTTTCAAAACTTTATGCCTCCAAAGCCCAAATGAATTCKGTGCTTCTCAGTATGAAGAATCAGCTTGGTGAGTGTGGAAGTGCAACCTTGGTCATTTAGACATTGGGAAAGACTTATCTAAACAACCTTCTCTTTAGTCATCGTGTGTTATGGTTCTGGTCTTGTTTAAATGAAGAAACCTATTTGTCTCTTTTCTAGCTGTGGTTCGTGTAGCCGGGACCCTGCAGAAGAGCACAGAGGTCATGAAAGCCATGCAGAGTCTGATCAAAATCCCTGAGATCCAGGCCACCATGAGGGAGTTATCTAAAGAGATGAAGAAGGTCAGAAGCAGCATCCAGTTACGATAAAAGCTAAAATGCCATGACTGATTTTGATTAATCATAATTTCTTAATTATTCCTCAATTTTCTGTAAGAAAAGTTGGTAAACTGTGATGTCATCTATACTTGTCAACCTTTCAGGCTGGAATCATTGAGGAAATGCTGGAAGACACGTTTGAGAGCATGGAAGATGGAGAGGAGATGGAGGAAGCAGCAGAGGAGGAAGTTGACAAGATCCTCTTTGATCTAACTGCAGGTAAAAATCTTTAAGTGAAACCACTGAACTCGTGTGTTTTTGTTGTCCGGTTTATTTATGTCAGCCTGAACTATAGGAGCTGATTGTACCAGAATGAGACTAAAAGCCTTTCGGTTCTGTTTGCTTCGTCAGGTGCCCTTGGCAAAGCTCCAAGCAAAGTCACAGATGCTCTGCCAGATTTGCAGCCCGCTGCAGCAGCTGCTGCCTCGGAGGATGAGTCAGAGGAGGACATTGAAGCCATGCAGTCAAGACTAGAAGCTCTGAGGAGCTAAGGTGAATCGCCCTCATCGGAGTCAGTACGCACGAGGACAGAGACTTTTCTGGTGCAATGTTCACTGTACCGAACCTCCCCTGCTTCATGCTATATTTTCACATCATCATTTGGGGTTAACATTGTGCTCTGACATTGTTTTCTAAAATTCAATGTAAGAAAAGGTGGCTTGTTTTTTGTCTTCTATTATCTGGGGTGGGTCTGGGTTTGTCTGTATTATCCAAAGTCAATCAGAAGGTGAAGAAAGATGTATATAATGTAAGTAAGAAAAGCCTTCTGTGCCTAATGTGCTTTTTTTTCTTGTTATGTCTGAAATATTTGGACTGTTGTGGAAGTATCTGGGTAAATACGATCCAAACAAGTGACTGAGTAGCTGTTGATAAATCTYGTCATGCAGTCGATCACCAGTCAGCAGTGGTTTTACCTTCCCATAGGCAACTTCTGCTCACTTCATCACTAAATAATCTTAAAATCTCTGAAACACGAGATGATGAGGAGATTTTGCTTGTGTTTTTTTTTTTTTAATTATTTCCAGTACCAGTCTGAATCTATTTGTTCTGTATGTGGTGATACATGTTAAGTACACTCAGCAGAAAATGCATGCATACTGCTTTTTCCTTATGTTTGCTTTAATATTCAGCTTATTAAATGCTTCATACATCACATTTGAGTTCTTTATCCAAATATAGGTGGAGAGGAAATTTTTTAAAAAATGGTTACAGGAGAATCTATATATTGAGTGTTGTGTGTATGATTTTTCTATGTAAATGGACAAAAAAATAACCAATAAACTTTTAAGGAAAGTGACAGCTGTATTGTTCGTACTGTACATTATGTCCTTTCTTTGTGAGAGACAATGTTGGATCTGTTCTCATCAGGTAAAAAACTTTTAGGGAATGTGTCTGCCAAGTAGCAGCAGCCCACCTCAGCAGGACTATTTAACACTTGTCTGACAAAGAAAACCGAGCTAAATGACATTTTTTTATAATCTTGCCCTATTGGACCTCATAAACACAGATATTTGGGATTTTTATTTAAACTCAAACATGAGGAGAGTACATGTTACACGATTAATGTCTTTTTTTTAGCAGAAGCAGAAATGAAATATTTTGAAGAGCTSCTGCATGCCTTTGGTCCACCATGTTTTGAACATCCACTTGCCTTTTAAAACRCAACCAGATTAAGTTTCTGCCAGGCTCAGCTCCCCCTCCGCTGCTTTTGTTGCACTGTAACCAAACCTCAGTCTTTACCGAGGYACTGTAGCTCTAATAATWCGGCTGTTTCCTGGTTCTAGGTCAKRCTAAATCCCGTCCCATTTGAGTCCATTTGTCCCCAATCACTGGGTTAAACTGGTTTACACCAATATGTGGTTAAATCATGTTATTAAAACAACCCAACAGTTTTTGTAAGTGTGTGCTGTCCTGCGTTTTATCAGATGTGTTACTCTTTTATTGGTCTCTGATCTAATAAAATATGACTGAGCTGCAGGCAACACGTCTAAACACAAATTTTTCGGGGCCTTGTCAGCTCGTGCTGTCTGTGCAACGCAACACTGCCATCTATGGATAAGAGCTGCGTGTTTACATCCGCGCATCACGTTGGCGCCTGTGTGCGTCCTGACGCCGCCGCCTGTCATCTGGAGGAAACTCCTCCCCGCAGACAGGGACGCGTCCTGTCGCCTTTCCAGCGCAATGGTCTCCTGGATCATCTCTAGGCTTGTGGTGTAAGTCTTTTATTTATTTATTTTAAAAAAAAAATCATATTTCATGTTCTTTGTCACAGTCAAGGAATCCGATCCAAACGGGGGGGTCGTTGCGGCTCTCTGAGACTGATCAGAGTGCGCGCGCCTCACGAGCCCCCGCAATTTCATCTACAGCCCATTTTAATCAGAATCAGACGTCGCCTTTCCAGCGCAATGGTCTCCTGGATCATCTCTAGGCTTGTGGTGTAAGTCTTTTATTTATTTATAAAAATAAAAAAAAATCATATTTCATGTTCTTTGTCACAGTCAAGGAATCCGATCCAAACGGGGGGTCGTTGCGGCTCTCTGAGACTGATCAGAGAGTGCGCGCGCCTCACGAGCCCCCGCAATTTCATCTACAGCCCATTTTAATCAGAATCAGACGTCAATGTGTGAAGAGATCAGGTGACGGGTTGTTCATTTTCTAACTGATCCGCCTGTTCTCTACAGCAATGCACTTTATTATAATAACAGGGGAACAGAACCAGGCCCGTAGACCTGATCTGTTTCAGTGCCACTCTTTGTGTTTATCAAATGCATTTTTTTATTTTACCCATAACAGACAAAAGGCACGACGTGATTTATAATCATCCACTGCATGATTCAGATTTATGTGTCTTCAGTGTCGATGTCTCATATGAGCAAAGGGGGAAAAAATCAAAAGGGATGGGTCATACTTCTCGGGTTACAGGGCAAGACTCGTTGATGTCATAAAACTGTGCATATTTTTCTCATGTTTAAACATTAAACAGCTGTGTCACTGCATAGGTTTTTTATTTGTGTGTTTGTGTGTGTGTGTGCACAAATCAGCAAAGCTGCACCCTGTGTGGAACAGCAGGTTGCACACCTTAAAATAGAGAGGGAATAAATTTAGATTACAAGATCCTGTTACATGTTGGACTTCCTCAGTTTGGATTCCAAGCAGATCCAAGTTGTTGGGTTAGGCCAATATGTTGTGTGTCCTCTCTTGTTCGTTGGTTAGTTGGTCAGGCCTGAGTGTCGCAATGTGATGTGGGTCAGTAATCTGATCAGACCAGCTGTTGTCTGGTGGTTGTGTCAGGGTCCCCCTCCCTCTTTGTTTGGGAACCTGGCAGCACAGGTGTCTGCTGCAAATGAACACAAGTTTAAGGAAAAGTGTCAAACACGTGTAAGTTAATTCAACACTTTTTCAACCCGGCAGCTAATAGAGATGAATTGCATGATCTGTGAAAAATGTTGTGGCCCTGATGACCCGAGGTTTCTCTTATTTCAGCAGAAAACAAGGCCAAACCAGTTTCTGTGTTTTAAAACTGTTAAAGCAGCAGTGCTCTTTGTTAAAAACTGATTAGCTGCTGAACAATAGCCTACAGTCCCTTTCATTCACCCAGAAAATGTGGAGTAGGGGGAATTTGAGGTTATTTTGTTCCATACATTTTTGGCATCTAATTCTTTCTACAATTTTTGTGCATTTCAATAAATCAAATCAAAACATTCAGCTCATTTATGGGCACTATGATTTTTGGTGTTTCAGCTATTTATACGTCTTCAGTTATTTAGTTTTTTCTACCTTTTTTTCCTTTTTATTGAAAATGAATAGAGTTAGAACATCTTTAAAACAATTTAAAGTGTTTATAAATCTTTACTGCACTTTTCACCTTTTGTTCTGTTTTGTTTTTCAACTTTCTGCTCCTTTCAGCTGTTTTTCTTTAAATTAAAACTTTTTTAGGTTTCCATCAGTTTCTTCTTGCTAATTTAAGCTTCTTATACACATCTTTTAGCTTCTTTCAGCTATCTTTTGCCTCTAGCTATTTTCAGTTAATTTAGCTTTTTTTAATCTACTTTTTCTGAATGCAACTATTTTATAGGCCTTTTTTATTGTTTAAACCAATTTGATTGTTTTTTCTCTCTGTTCACCATCTGTCTGCTAATTTCAACATGTTTTTGCTGTTGTCTACTTTTGTTTTCCTTCTTTCAGCAAAAGTCAGCTGTTCAAATTTAACTCACATCAACTGTTTGATTTGCTATATTAAACATTTTCAGCTTATTCAGCTGCTTTCAGGAAAAAAACCTTTCAGAATTAAGCATCCACACTGTATTTTTGCAGGAAATGCAAGTTCTCTCGTTTCTTTTTGTATTCTTGCACACTTAAAGTTAATGTAGACTTTTCTTTTTGTTATTAGACTTGTTTTTGGTACACTATATCCTGCATACTCATCCTATAAAGCTGTGAAGACAAAAGATGTGAAAGAATATGTGAGTATAGTCATTTAAAATTAAACCACTATTACATATTACATTGTTTCTGCAATAATAATATCACTCTTTTCTGTGGTGTTTCAGGTGAAATGGATGATGTATTGGATAATATTCGCCCTATTCACGACGGTGGAGGTGTTTACAGATATGTTTCTTTGTTGGTAAGTGAACTTTGATGATTTGGCAGAACTGATTTGGGTGCTTCAGGGAAAATAGCATCTTATGCTTCATCACATATTGTTCTACCCCGCTGTGTTTTTGTCATCGCAGGCTTCCTTTYTACTATGAACTAAAGATAGCCTTTGTGGTGTGGCTCCTGTCCCCGTACACGAAGGGATCCAGTGTGCTCTACAGGAAATTTGTCCATCCCACGCTTTCCTCAAAAGAAAAGGTGAAATCCTTTTTCCTTTGTCAGATCTTCCTTTGTTTCTCTTGGTGTCGTTAAAGGAAAGTAAGTGAGCGTATTCAGTCGAGGTTCTCGGTTAATCGGCATGTTTATGAGTTGTGTAACGGTCTACAGAGCAAACAAAAGTGCCCTTGTACCAAATTTCTTTCACATTTTAGCCGTTAAAAATGTGTTTGCTGAACAAATGAGAGGAAACGTCATGGTGCTTTTCCATTCTCTGCTTTCCTTTCCTCTATGAGTCAAAGCAGAAGTTCAGTAAGAAACAGCTTTTTACCTTCTGCTAATCTCATGTGATTGTGTTCCTCCAGGACATCGATGAGTACATCTGCCAAGCGAAAGACAAAAGCTACGACACGCTGGTGCATTTTGGTAGGAAAGGACTGAATGTTGCAGCCACAGCTGCGGTCATGGCTGCAACAAAGGTAACTACCCCGACCTGCAAGTGAAACAAGCCGTTATTGTAGCTAACCTGTATTATTGTATGTAATAACTTCATACAGGATTTGTTGTCACGTTACTGCATGTTTCTGGTTTAGGGCCAAGGCGTTCTGTCAGACAGACTAAGGAGTTTCAGCATGCAGGACCTGTCGTCCTACCAGTCTGACCCAGTTGACTCTGGACCTGGCATGGCCCAGCCTGCAGCCGCTCAGCACCGGACCAGACCCATAATCCGCAGCAAGTCAGAGAGCTACAAGGGTGAGGAGACACCTTTGACACATCCTGACACCCARCACTGGTTAAAATGTTCAACTTAACTTTCAAAACACACATATGGTCTTTTGAAATGTCTCCTCTGGTGTCGTTAGATATTATTAATCTGTTGTGCTGCAGTGACAAGCCAGCAGGAACATATCTGTCCTTCTGTCCAGGTTTTTTTAAGCTTTAAAAATATTCAACACTGCTTCTTTCCTGAGAGGTCCCCCAAACCGGGGTCCTACCTTCCTGTTTGGATCAGGTCAGGTCTCACAGGGCTGACAGAGAAACCATCCTGTGACAAAAGTCACATGTAGCTAGGGGGATTTGTTCCAGGTTTAATCTCACAAGGACACAGTTGTTGTTTACTTCGATTTATTTTTCCAGAAGATACAAAAAAAAAAAAAAAAAAAAAAAAAGAAGCAAAGACTCAACTGTTGATGCAAAATAACTTCAATTCAAGACCTTTAGTGAGTTTGTTTTTCTTACAGTAGCAAATTCTTCTAAAAAAAACTCCTGGTTTATCTAAAAGCTCCAGTTTGAGCAGCAGAGTTTTATAAAACTCTCATAAATGTTGCTCATTTATTCTGAATATCTGTTATTTCTTAAACCTGACTACATGGGTTTGCAAAAAGTCCATTGTCTTGTTGGGGACTCATTTTAGCTGCGGATTAACACATTTACTGAGCTTAAATAACATCGTGATTGCATAAGGTGTCAGTCCAACTAACAGTAATGCTTATGTTGATTAAAAAAAGGAAAGGGGATCGAATACCAGTTTGAATACAAATATTTTTCTTATAATTAGAGCTAAACTAGTTCCAGTCTTTTGATTAAAAAGCTGATTAAACCATGTCATTAAACCAAACAAGAAAAATCATTTCTAAATCAGTTTTAAAGAACCAAAACACTTTTTTCTTCTTATACTTCATAAAATTACAAAGTGCTGTAGGCTGACATGATGAGACTTAATAGGAACATGTTTGTCGAGCCCGTTTGTCCTGCAACATGTTGGTTCATCGTTTGACTTCTGCAGGAAAACCTCCAGCAAACATTAAAAAAAATAATTCAAAACTCGAACAATCCTGCAGACCAGAGTCAGGTTTCATCTGTTCTTCTGTCCTCCACCGCCCTTCTTTGTCCACGGTGCAGACTTAGACATGACCGAGTATGAGGTGTTGGGCTTGGAGCCGTTGGAGTCCGCCGGGTTCTTGTCCCAAACCACAACCTCAGCCTCAACCAGCGGGTCCTCACCCAGCACACCCTCTGTGACGCCCCAGTGCGCCTCGCCCTCCGCTCCTCCTGCAGCTCCGGAGCAGCCTGAGGGGGAGTTAGTGAAGGAGGTGCAGGCAGCGTCCAGCTCTCCTCAGCTCAGGCTGAGTAAGAGGAAAGCTCCAGAGGTATTCAGTGAACTCGGCTGCTGCCTGACTCTAACTCCCCCMTGAGAGTGGTGATTTGCTCACTAATGGACTGATTTTATTCTACTGCTGCGTGCCTAAACGAATCATCGCGGTTCAGTAGCACCTTTTCACATGTAAAGCCCAGATGCTCAGAGGATTTTTGATGAATGTCTGATTGCAGTGACTCATTTGTTTTTAATTTGTTGTTCGGGAAACACGAGAACTTGGATGAATGCTAGTTTATTTGAACTTGCTGCTTAAAAAGAGAATATCTCTTTTATAATTACTTTTTCTTTTCTCACAAATTTCAGCATCAGAATATTTGTTTACTCAACAGAAATAATGCCCAGGTTAATGTAAGATAAATCATTTATTTTAAATTTCAGTTTCATTTAGGCTATTGGTTTATTTATTTAGCATTMTGAACTGATTGGACATTATGTAAAGATAACAAAGGATTATTTTTCATCTATTGCCTTTGGATAGATGTTATGAATAAAAAAAGTTGTTTTAGTATGTATTGACAAAAATATTCAAAAATACATAGGTATAAATAAATAAATATAATTGGAAATGTCAAAATTAACTAAAAAACCATATTTTTTAATGGTTTTTATATAAACTGTACAATATTTTTCCATTATGTATGAAAATGAAAAACTAATGAAACAAGAACATTTTATAAAAAGTCTAACAATGATGTTTGTTATTTTTCTGTGAGAATTTTGATTGTTTTCTTTTCTTTGGAGCTCAAATGACTTTACAATTTCACTATCAAAAATTTTGCATTTCCATATTTTCATTGTTGCTATTTTTATATTTTTACTAATTGCCTTTTTGTTGCATATTGTTGGCCTCAGACTAAAAGAGCATATCAAAATGTCACTTTTTTCTTTTCTTTTAAAAACTGGAACTTTTGTTTAAACCTGAAATCTTTTATTTCAAGAAATGAGCCTGGCTCTGAGAGTTACAGCCAAACTAACTCAGTGTTTGGTTTGACTTTAGATTTTTGTTTTACTAATAAAAATCTGTGCAAGTGCTGAATCTATCGTTGACCAAACTCTCTTTTCCTCTTTGTTTCTTTCGTCCGTTCAGCCTCCTCATAGAGTCTTACGGCCTCTCACACGATCAAGGAGTGCTTTTTCTTCAACCAATGAAGCCATGTGAAACTCTCCTCCAGCTGCCTTCGCTGCAAGAAGTAAAAATACTGGATGGCCAAAAGCTACACGACTGAAGCAGCCCTGCTTTGGAATACGGTGTTACCAAAGTGACCTAAGAAACCCCTCGACATTTAGTGTATTACAGATGATTTAAAAACATAAAAAACAAAAACAGGCATGAGATTGGATGAGTGAATGAATGGGCTACATGCKGATAAGACAGTTTTTGAAAATGTATTTATGTACAGTTAAGTGTCCTGTATCTTCATGCTTTTATTGTTTTTTTTATTAATCATTAGTGGGCCGGCAATCGCACGCACGTCTTCCCCGTTTTGGAACTAGAATGTACTTTTGTTGAATATCATCACTGGGACTGAGGAAAAATGCTCTTTTTAGAAAATGAGTCATTTTTGTCTCGGTTGAATCTGAAATTTTCATTTCAATCACCCCGAGCCCTTTGATCCTAAAATAAAAACTTTTAAATTACCAGACAGCAATCACACCACTRTTCTGTTTAACACCTCCTTTTCAGCCTTAAAGGAAGAAAACTGAGACAAATAGTTTATGTTGAAGTGATTCCAACACAATGCTGTTAACAACTATTTGCACTATGTTGAGAAATGACGTGACTCCCTTCAGTCATAAGGCCAAAACGTAAACAGCTTGTTGTTCAACTTCGATATTTTTTTAGTCTATTAAGGCTTCTTCTGAGGTACAAGAAAAAACAAGTAAAGCCACCTCAAAATAAGTTGATTTCTGATCATGTATTTCCCAAATAAACAGGAAATCTGAAGTAGGGATCATAGATTTTGAACTGTAGCAGATTTGTTGTACATAACATGGTTGCCCCCCCATGTTTTAAATCACTGTGTGACGTTCTGCTGTTAACTGAGCGATGCTAAAACTCTCTACTCGTATTGTACCCCGACGTGCTTCTGCTGGTAGAGATGGAGAGCGGCTGTCGTCGGTTAACGACTCGCGCTGATGCGTTTGATGTTTCCTCTGTACTTTCCGTCGTTGAGCCTGAACTTTCATTCGACACCAACGATCACTGTGGTGGTGGGTAGACCTTTTCTTTTGCCGTAATTCGCATCGGTTTCTTACAGCGATTTACAATTTAAAAACTAAAGCTTCTCAGGTACAACTGTTCTGTTTACACGTCTTTAGGTCTGATGTTGTAGATACACTTATTATGCACATAAAAATGTTTTCAATGGGGAAAAAAAGATATTTCTAAATATGTGTTTGAGTTAGTGGTATCAGTGTTAGTGTTTCAGGTGATCAGTTCAAATTAACGCAAAGTGAAGCAGGAAAAAAAATACATGTGAAAATATAAATTTATATACTTGTGTGTAGAAAAAATGGTTCTTTGATGCATGTTATTACTTTGTATGAGTGTCCATGATGTTGTTGATTTTGTGTGAAGCTCTTGGCTTTGCTGGTAAATGATTATTTTCCTACTTTGGTTGAGAACAACATTAAAGGTTTTGGCTGTAACACTGAAACACCGTCCTCACCCCAAAGAAAACTAATTCTGGCAGGCCAGAATGTCAAATTACTCAAGATTCAGCTTAATTTAGGGTCAAAACAAAAAGCAGTGATGTGACATCATAGTTAATGACTGATGACTCCATGAGCTTAAATATTTCTGTTACATCTATTTCAATCTAATAAATATATATATATATAGACAATTTTGTGTTTTGATTTTCTTTGAAGCAAAACAACTAAAACCAAAGGGTTGTTCTATCATAAGATTTTATTTTGTGCACATTGTGTACTTTATTCGAGCAGAAGCTGTTACACAAATGAGCACATCATAATTTCAGATTGACCCGATCGTGGTACTTCAGATACGGATCATCAACATACCAGTTTCTCCTTCTCCAGTAAGCAGATGTCATTTTATCCAACAGTTTACACTGTGTTTTGTTGCAAAAGACAATCTGCCTCAGACGATTTATTCTGTCAGGGTGCTTCTTCCAGAGTTTTTTCCTGTATCCAGCCTGTTCACAACCAAAAACAATCAGTGGTTTTATTATTTTATTTCCACCCACCTCAGAAGCTGTGAAAATTACTAAAAGGAAATACGCACCCTGCGTCTGATCCAAAGGCCGCAGTGAAGCCGCATGAACCTTTCAGGCACTGATGGGACAGACTTCCTCTTTCCCTTTCTCACACCGAAGTAAACCAGACTTCGGCATGGCTGCCAGGTCAGACTGGGAACGATGGCTGACACACTGTAACCGCACAAAGGAGCATGGAGTTCAAGGTTTACACAAAACACAGAGAAAATTTTAAGACATTGAAAGTGTTTGATAGTTTTGCTTATTCTTTTAGATAACCTATTAAGCTTTCTAGCTTAATAGGTTAGGTTAGGTTAGCCAACCTATTACCTGCAGTAATTAAAATTTTTTGCATATTTCTATATGCCAAAATTTAAATTACACATACAAATAAAACTA